CTTAATAAGTATTTGAAATAGACAAACTAAATTCTGTAAACTAGAATTAATATTGGGACCAGCAGATGGCATAACGGTTACATCATAGAACTGCCACATAGTTGACCATGGTTCAAGTCCTGGACTTGGTGGCTTAAAACTCACACTGGGTGCATGTGTGTGCATGTCCAGAATCCCAAGAGGAGAATGGAAAAGGCATTGCGGCACGGCCATCGCCCCTGGTGGGTGACTTCTCGCTTTTTGTCTCTCTCTCTCTCTGGTGAATGCACATGCCCTATGGCAAAAATCTCTCTTAAAAAAAAAAAAAAAGAAAATTATGGGGGCAACAATTAGTGCTACATCTACATTTTCATGTCTTTAAAATGGTCTATAAAAATGTCCTAAACCGTTGAGCCACAGAACTATTACTATTATATACTTCTTAAACACTCATCACGTGCAGTATAGTATACCATACACACCTTAGAAATCTTATGTGTGGCTATGTATAGGCTCCTAATTTTCAAGCATGTAGTAAGTGTGAAAAAGGTATGTGCTACAGTTTCCTACAAATTATAGATCTGGTATATATCAATCAACAATAAATATTTATGGCACCTACAATGTTTTAGGTATAGAGCTTAGATAAATAAATACACACTCTCAAAGATTTTACAGTTAAATGTAAATGGTCAACATTAATATAAATTGATTATTTAAATAATTACAACTATGCAAAGTAATACAAAAAAACACCATAGATCAGAGAATTAAGAGAAAGTTTAGTGATGGAGCTGACTCAGTCTGACTACATGTGACAAGTTATTATCTTCATAGATTTTTCCCTTGAATTCTGCTTGACTCTAGGAAGACAGGATCAGTATTCTATTGGCATTTGGTCCCCAAGCTCTAAGATCAACAAAGTTAGTAATTTCTCAGTCAGCAAATATTTACTCAATACCTATGATAGGTAAGGCTAGGCTCTTGGTAAAGTGCTGGAAATACAACAGTGTGCAAGAAGGTTAAAGGTCCCTTCCCTTATGGATATTAGAGGAAAATCAGTAAGTCTTTGCTAAAATACACATATAATGATTTCATAAAAGCTTGAATACATTGGATTTTGTTTTTGGTTTTGGGAGACTGGCATGCAAGGCTGTCATAGTTACCTCTTTAAGAATGTATTACAGTTGGGACCAGCGGTTGGTCTAATGGCTATGTCGCTAAACTCCCACATGGTCGACTGTGGTTTGAGTCCTGGACCCAGCGGCTTAAATTCACACTGGGTGTATGTGCGTACATGCCCAAGATCCCAAGAGGAGAATGGAAGAGAGGGGACTGCAGAGTGGCCATTCCGGTAGGGGGTGATTTCTCACTTTCTGTCTCTCTGTCTTTCTGGTGAGCACATGTGCGCTGTAGCAAAACAAAACAAAACAAAACAAAACAAACAAAACAAAACAAAACAAAAAAAACTCTCTGAAAATAAGAATGTATTAGAGTGCTAGAAATTATGGCTATGTCACTGGACTCCCATGTAGTCGACTGCGGTTTGCGTCCCGGACCCAGTGGCTTAAAACTCATGCCAGGCGCGTGAGCGTGCATGCCCAAGATCCCAAGAAGAGAATGTAGGAGAAAGGATTGCAGTTTGGCCATCCCCCCTGGGGGGTGATTTCTCACTTTCTGTCTCTCTGTCTCTCTCTGTCTTTCTGGTGAGCAGACGCGCCCTATAGCAAAAACTTCTCAAAAACAAAAAAAGAAAGAAGAAAAGAAATTATTTGCATTTTTTACTATCTTAGCAGTAGAAAGACTGAGTGTTAACAACTAAATTCAACATGTTATTAACTGAGGCTAGTAACTTAAAAAACACTAAATAAGAACTAGTCTATGCACTCTTATGTTTAAAATACAACATGAAATTAAACGAGTTAAGAATATTCCTTAAGACAGATGACAGTCTTAAAATAAAATCTAGGGGCCAAGAGAGGCAGCAGAAAAACCTACATGGGTAGGTTCTAGGTGGGCATCTGGAGACCTGCCCAAGTATGCTAGAGGCATGTGTGCCCATCATCTGTGGCTGGATGGGCATGGAGGTGGATCACTGTGTCAAGACTCTATTGGGGTACTGTCACTCTGTCTTTCTCTGTGTCTTGCTCATAAAAGAAATAAGTAAACTTAAAGTACATATATTTAAAAAAACTAGATGAAATCTCTTTTTTCTTCATACTTTCTCATATCTGATTTTCAAAGTAACTTGGAAATGTGGGAAGGTTTTTGTTTTGTTTTGTTTTGTTGTTATAGGGTGTGTGTGCTCGCTGGAGAGACAAAGAGACAGAAAGACAGAAAGCAAGAAATCACCCCACAGGGGGATGGCCATACCACAATCCCTTCTCCTCTTGGGCTTTTGGGCATGTGCTCATGTGTTCCTGGCATGAGTTTTAACCCACTAGGTCCAGGCCTCCAACTACAGTTGACTATGTGGGAGTCCAACGATGTAACCATTATGCCACCTGCTGTCCCAAATGTGCCAAGTTTTGTGTACAGTGCTACCTTTGTCATTTTTTTGTTTGTACTATGTGCATGGCAAAGAATTAGAAAAGTATGACAATTCACTTCTGATAACAAATCCAAGATTCCAGCTAATAAGCAGCAAATGACACTGGCATAATTACGATGAAATGAAACCAGGATAATGTAACATCATCCATTTATATTTAAACATATTTAAAAGCATGGAATGAAGGATGTCTGGTTAAAATAAGTATCTATATCATAGAATGATTAGTCCCATAGTCTGCACTGGTTAGGTCCCACCAACAGGGCAATAAAACAAAACGGCTAGAACCCTGTAAAAGTCACTTATCCTTTCTAAGCCTCAATTCTCTTACCTGAAAAACAGGGTTAATAAATGAATCTACATCACAGAGTTGGTATTACCATTAAAGAGTACTTGTAAGGCACACAGTAGGTTCTATATGAAGAACAGCTAATATTACTAGGACAATATTCAATTTAATTCATGTTAACATATCTCAAGAAAATCAAGTGTATATTTATAGTGTTTTTTAATTATTCAACCTTTTGAAAACTATAGTGCTTATCCCCAGCATAAAATTACATAATTACTTTCAAGTGGTTTGTAAACCTAAAAGCCAGCCCTGACCTTAGGGTTTTAGGTATCACAGGTAAAAAACTCCTAATCACGGAGTCTGGATGGCAATGCAGCAGTAACCCCTCACTCTGTGAGGCTGACTCACATAGTTCTGGGTTTATCTTGGAGACCAACCTGAACTCTCCAGGTGTGTGGTGTTCATGATCTGGAGCTGGCTGAGGCTGGGGTTGGGTCATGGTGTCGGTGGGTGCTTGTGTCTATCTGTCTTACTTAAGAAAAAGTTTTTAAGCTTAAAGTAAGCTTAAAAAAACTTACAGTTTTATATCATGGTCAGTACTGATCTGGAGTAACTAAAAAAAAACAAACAAAAAAATAAAACCTGATAATCTATAACTAACTTGAAGTTCTACTGACAGATATAAAATTCTCCAAATACTTGACTAACCATAACCACAAGTATACTCTGAATCACACACTACTCCTTTAGAAGGTGGGATTTAACTACACAAAGAGAAATTAGAGAAAGGTCTTCAAAAAAGTGCTATACTCAAATTTTATAAAGACACATATTCAACTTTAGCCTAAAGATTTTCTTCTAAGATATTGTAAGTTTTGGGAACCAGCAGTTAGCGTAATGGCTATGTCGCTGGACTCCCATGTAGTCGACCGCGGTTCGTGTCCCGGACCCGGTGGCTTAAAACTCACGCCGGGCGCGTGTGCGTGCGTGCCCAAGATCCCAAGAGGAGAGCGGAGGAGAAGGGATTGCGGTGTGACCATCCCCCCTGGGGGGTGATTTCTCGCTTTCTGTCTCTGTCTGTCTGGCGAGCACACGCGCCCTATAGCGAAAAACCTCTCCAAAAAAAAAAAAAGATATTTTAAGTTTCAAAAATAATAAATAACTACTCACTCATTATTTATTGATATTTATAAATAATCACTTTTATCTCATATTTTAAAATGGATCAGGAACACGTTGATATGCTTATATATTTATTTTAGATATGTTTTCATAGCCTTCACGAAAATATTTAGTGGCCTGATGGTTAGGAGTCTGGATCCTACATGACCAATTGTGTAATTCAAGTTCCAGACCCAGTTGCTTGAAAAACACACTGGGCACATGTATATATATGCATGTTCAAAATCTCAAAAAAAGGAAAAACTGGAAAGGGATTGCAACACGGCCATCCCCCTAACAGGTGCTTTCTCATTCCCCAGACGCACCTTTCTTCAATGAGCACATGTGCCCTAAGACAAAACAAAAACAAAGTGAAGGAGAACCAAACCAACCCCTTCTCCACCCCTGCAAAACCAAAAAAAAAAAAAAAAAAAAAAAAGTAGGATCACAGGCAAAAGTGTTGAGTAGAGGAACAGTCTATGTCACACAATTGGGAAGTATGGCAAATACATCCTCTATAAATAATTTTTAATTTCTAGAGCTGCCTATTTCAGGTTAGAGTCCTACTTACAAGAAAAGAGATATGAAAAGAAAGGCAAATGATATGGAGGAAAATTTAAGACACTCAACATTTAAATAAACTAAGACTATCATGATACTTAACCAAATAAATAAGGTAACAGGTTTTGAGAAAAACTTTTATGTTAAAAGAAATACCTTAAAACTATTCACCTTTTTAAAGTTAAACTTATTTTATAAAGATCTCCTTGGAAGGATTGAAAAAAACATGAAGCTATTTTAAATTTTGCTACAGGATCCCAGGGGGGAAAAAAATCACTGTATGCTTACATCCAAAGAAATTAAACACATACAGTTTTAAATGCCTAAGTTAATATTCTGAAGTGTCAAAAAGAACTAGCTTTAAGGAAATCTAAAGACATGCTACTTAAACTGAATGTCTCATAAGTATTCTTAGCTATAGTCTAATCAGATTCTTAAATAACATCATACAATTACCTGTGTTTATTTCTTCTGCAATTTCCAGATTTTCCATTTGAATCACATGATCTAACATCTCTGTAAAATGCTCTCTAATTTCTTCAGCTGACTCATCTCCAAATTTGTAATCACATAACATTATGGTGGATCCCGGAATGGGGACAAAAACTCGGTGTGGGAGGATGTGGAACTCTCTTTCAGCACCTAAAATAAGAAAGAACATAATTAATATTTAGCTAGGTCTGTCACTGTCACTGTCAGTGATTATATTTTAGAACTATATAAAAAATATGTAATATTAATGAAGTTTAAATGGTCCATGTATTTTCATTTTTCAATCAATTGGTCTGGCATAAAATTGGTCTTACTAAATCCTGTTTTACTCAATACTCCTAGCCTCTGCAAGGGACCTGAATTATAATATAGTCCTATAAAACTTACAAACTTATCAAAGCTTTCGATGTAAAGCTGTTTTTGATTACACATTCTTGCATGACCCACTTCTCATAAAAGATCACTCAAGAGAGAATTTTGCCACAGGGTCTCAGAAATTGTCCTTGTTTGTTTTAACCTTACTAGTCCTATGAATTCATAGCTAATTTGTTTCTTCTTCATGTAAGTTTGGAGCCAAATTAGTGGCCGAACTACATCAATTATACAGGATACAAAAGCATACGTTTTTGTGCTAATCTCACTATTGGCTTCATCTTATTAGACGCACTCTCCTCCCTACGCATGCCTAAGAGAAGATATCAAGACATACATCTTGTATACCAATTTTACTACAACGTTGCTTTGCTTCCTTTTTCACCTTCTCTTTTTTCATAATAACATCTTCCTCTTGTTCACTTGCAGTGCCTCTGTAAATAGTCTTAAGTAATTTTTAGGAAAAAGAATCTGAATCTAAATTTAAAAAAAATGAATGACTATGTTTCATTCTTCTTTGGATATTTACAAGTCAGAATCTAATACTTCCTCCAATTTCTAACATAAATAGTCACAGGTCCAGATAAATACACGATTGCTGTTTAGCTCAGCAGTATGGTTCATATCACAATGAGCTATCACAAAAACAGGGATTTTGTGTAAGAAATAATCTCTCAGCAACTAATAAGAATTTAGAGTTACCAATGTAAAGATAAAGAAGCAAACTAGGCCTGGCTTTAATAGTAACCTCTATTTCCTTGTCAAGAAACTACAGGCAGCTTTATACAATTACAAATGGCAGATGAACAATGTCTGATATGTCACAGGAAATGCTATGACTTAAACTATGCGTTTCTTCCAAATTTTGTGCATTATCGGCCCATCAGAACTGGGAGGACAGTTTTACTCTTTGACTAGATTGCCTCCTAGCTGTGGAATTACATTACTGCAGATTTATATAGTGGCCCGTAAATTGTCCACACATTGAAATGAGAAGTATATTATTCTATTTTGGATCACAGTCACTTGAAACAAATGAGATAAAAACATATAATGTACATTACGCATGCAATTGGCATGCAAGGTGTTAAAATTACTTTGTTGTGCATTAATTCTAGTTTTGCCTGATAAAAGAGTAATAGTATTTTATAAAATCAAATGTTAAAGAACTGGCTACAGAGCCAGTAGGTGGCATGGTGGTTAAGAGCACTGGGCTCCCACGTGGTCTTCTGCAGTTGAGTCCCAGACCTGGCGGCTTGCTTTCTCTCTCTTAACTCTGTCCCTCTCTGGTCAAATTAAAATAAATAAATTAGGTTAAATAAAATAATTCTTAAAAAAGAAAAAAAAAAGAACTGGCTACAGTAAGTTTAAATTATTCACTAAGAAAGAAAAAGCCCTTATAACTTTCAAATTAATAAGTTATATTAGTAACTGAGTATCTAAATGAAACTACATTTTTTAGTTGGTCCAAGGTTAAATTGGGAGGATGGATGTTTTGGAAAAAAAAAAAATATTCCCAAAATATATTCCAAAGAAGAATCCTTTAGGAATATCCCCACAGCAGAGTATTTAATCCAACATTACTTGAGTAAATTCAACATAAACAAAAACAATTTCAGTCAGTATAACAAAAATTGGGTTTCTGCTGGTTAAAAATAGAATCCTAGGGTATTAGGAGGCAGCATAGTAATCATGTCACTGGACTCTCATATGGCCCACCATGGTTCAAGTCCCAGACCAGTGGCTTGAAAATTAAGCCAAGTGCTTGTGTGTGCATGCCCCAAATCCCAAGAGGAGAATGGAGAAGGGATTATGGCATAGCCATCTCTCCAGGATATGAGTTCTCACTCTCCCTCTCTCTGTCTCTCTCCAGCAAGTATATGTACCTGATGAGAAAAAACAAAAAAAGGGGGGTAGAAAAAATATCAACATAGTTTACTCATTATAGCTTGGGTAGTTCACATCAGCATTAACTGAAAGAAAAACAACTTCCCTAAAAATTGTTAAATGTTAACAGACCTACTACTATAAACTGTCCAAAAAAAATTTAGGTAGGGGATTACAACTAAAAAATGTTCATGTGATTATAAAAGTAAAGAATGATATATTGTTCTAAAAGATATATAGCTATAAAACGTGACATAACTATTATATCTTCACATCCTATAACATCTATTGAACACAAACCAAAAAAAAAAATACTTATTATATACTCATAACTTTTTTTTCTGGAATTTCATTCAAAAGCAAATCCTCAAATAGTATCTCACAACGATCAGCAACTGTGTTCAATATATCTCTCTTCACTGCCTATGAGGGAAAAACATGCAAAAACACAATGAGAAATTAAAATACTTTAAATTTACATTATATACCACAAAATTTGCATAATATGACCACTAAATAATTCATACAGTCCACTTTTAAGTTCCATGTATTCAGTATGTGTATTAACACAAATAGAGTTTTGGGTTTTTTGTTTTAGAAAGATTTTGCTACAGCATATGTGCACTCACTAGAGGCTAGAGAGAGACAGAGACAGAGAGACAGAAAGTGAGAAATCAACCCCAGGGAGGATGGCCACACCATAATCCCTTCTCCCCCATTTTTCTCTTGGGATCTTGGGCACACATGCACATGCACCTGGCTTGAGTTTTAAGCCGCTGGGTCCAGGACTCAAACCGTAGTTGACTATGTGGGAGTCCAGTGACATAACCATTATTCCATCTGCTAGTCCCAACATATATGTAGTTTAATAACATATCTGCCCAGATCCCATCTAAACAGTAAACTAAAACCAAATAAATTAAAGAAATTTTGTACCTAAACAAATAAGGCTAGTATTCCAAATTAGGAAATGTGCAACTATGACATAAATAGTTATCATTTTTTAAATTTCTGATTTCAAACAATTATAGAATGCTACCTAATAATTCTTCCTATGGGTACTTTTCCTGTTAAAGAAAAATTCAATTTTCCTCAGCGGAAATGATTTCAAATGTACAAAATCCATTGAAACTGTGGAACACTTTTAAATCTCATTTAATGGTCACTTTCAAAAATGTAGTATATATGACGATCCTGGAAGCAATGACATTATATATCTGGACTGCAATACAGATTGGGCCTTCATTAGTGAAAATTAAATTAATTGCTAAAATCTAAGATAGAAAAAAGATAAAATTTTAGGATTTTTGAACAGTTGTGCTGACATGCTTAAACTTTTTAACTCCCAATTATTCCTTTTTGTACCTGCACAGCATCTTTAACCTTGGGTCTACTGCTGTGAATGTAAGCTCTGCATTTCACAGTGCCCTTAAGGTTTACAGAGCCGCTGCAGATCTGAACCGTGGCTGTGGATCTGTGGTCTGAATTCAGAAGCTGAAAGACAAAAGCTGTTTAAGTTCTAATAGGCAACAATTACTAACTATAGGAAACATTTAAACATTATTATAAGCCATTTTATGTAAGGAGGAACTTTTGACTGAGCCAAGTATTTGAAAATATTCTCCACATATTACTAAAAGGTCTTAATAGTTCTCTGCTTATGTTATATATTGTTTTCTCAGATTTTTAGTGTAAATGGAAATTTAATATACCTAAATTTGCCTACTAACATAACTACCTAAAATACCAAGATTCATTCAATATATTCAGTGAAAATGAATCATTTCCAGATTACTCAAATAAGCACTGTGAGTATGAAAAGACTTACAAAGAAGACAAGATGCAGTAGGCCCTAGAAGGTGTGTAATACTAGATGTGCAAAGATCATGAGAACAGTGGAAAAGGAGTAAGACAACTAAAGCATTTTAAATTAATCAGACCTTGAGGAATTGGGGGTGAGAGACTCTGGCTGCGTGTACTGACAATTAGGAAGTCAAGAAAACTGATTTAGTATTCTGGGGGTGACACAAAAAAAGTACAGTCTTAGAAACTCAACGTTTTTTTTTTTTTTTTTTTTTTTTGGGGGTTTTTTTTTTTTTTTTTTTGAGAGGTTTTTGCTATAGGGTGCATGCGCTCACCAGACAGATAGAGACAGACAGAGAGACTGAAAGCGAAAAATCACCCCCCCAGGGGGGATGGCCACGCCGCAATCCCTTCTCCTCTGTTCTCCTCTCGGGATCTTGGGCATGCACACACATGCGACCAGAGTGAGTTTTCAGCCACCGGGTCCGGGAAGCGAACCGCGGTCGACTACGTGGGAGTCCAGCGACATAGCCATTACACTAACTGCTGGTCCCAGAAACTCAACCTTGAAACAATACACAGACAATAAAACTTCATGCTAAAATTGTCAACTAACATGAATTACATAACCCCCTGAGAAATAGTTTTATAACTTTTCTCCTTCTGTTATCTAAGTTCTCTTTGGCTACAGACCACTGAAGCATTGCTCCCAGATGTCTTTACTCAAGTTCGGCAGGAATAGGTCTTTTTTTGCTTGCTTGACAAACGTGGGTCAGACTTCTTTATTTCAGGTTGAAAATACAAAGCAAAGTGTAATAAATACAATAAAATTATATGCAATGCACAGACACACATTTACTTACACATTTTCAATGAGAACCTTCATAGGTTAAAAGTAATGAAAGTTATACCCCAGAATGAAAACAAAATGAGTCAATTGTGCTTATTGCCAGAAAGTATTAATAGTAATACTATTGTACGCAGTTCTTGCCATCTCATATTGTAATCTTCTTCAATCTAAGAAGTGTTAGTTCCTGCTTGATCTTAAAGTATTAAATTTCATTTGTTTTTTTTTTTTTTTTTAGAGAGAGATTTTTGCTATAGGGTGTCTGTGCTTGCCAGAGAGACAGAAACAGAGCGATAGAAAGTAAGACATCACTCCCCAGGGGGAATGGCCATACCATACCACAATCCCTTTTCCTCCATTCTCCTCTCAGGATTTTGGGTGTGCACACACACAAGCCTGGTGTGAGCTTCAAGCCACGGGGTCTGGGACTCAAACCACGTGCACCATGTGGGAATCCAATAACATAACCACTACGCCATCTGCTGGTCCCCTCAGACATTTTTAACTCATCATCTTAATAAGTACAAAACATTGAAAGTACTACCAGAGGCCTGTAATGCAAAGAACAGAGAAAGGCCAGCTTGGTGGTGCAGCAGTAACATGCTGTTCAAGTATGCAACATCTATATGAAGGTGGCAGGTTTGGTTCCCCCACTGATGTGAAGGAGAGTGCATGAATCCATGATCCTGGTTGGCTGGGAAGGCTGAAGGGAATCACTGTGTCAGACACTGTTAAGGGTACTTCTCCCTCTCTCTCTTATGAAAAAAAAAAAAAAATGCAAACAAAAACCTCTGAATTGAATGTGGTAAGAAAGTAACTTATGTTCTAGTACCCTCAAAATAAATCAGGCAGTGTACAGTCAATTCTAAAGAACAAAAAGCAAGTCATTCAACTTGTGAATAGTGCTATGTGCCTATGAACCCACAAAATCAGGAAGGAATGAGAAAAACATAGAGAGGAAAAGACAGAAAGGACTTGAATATATAGCTACTGAAAGAGCATAAAAAGCCAATATCTCATTTAATCCACACAAAGACTAGTTTTTTTAAGAATTTAAACTTAGAGACCAGCAGTTAGCGTAAGGGCTATGTCGCTGGACTCACACGTAGTCGACCACAATTCACGTCCCGGTGGCTTAAAACTCACGCCAGGTGCATGTGCATGCGTGCCCAAGATCCCGAGAGGAGACTGGAAGAGAAGGGATTGCGGCATGGCCATCGCCCCTGGGGGGCGATTTCTCGCTTTCTGTCTCTCTCTCTCTGTCTGGCGAGCACACGTGCCCTATAGCAAAAACCTCTCCAAAAAAAAAAAAAGAAGAAGAAAAAGAATTTAAACTTAAATATGACCCAGGTTTTGTTGGCAAAAATCTGTCACAGATCAAATAGTTTTAAAGGATCCAGGTCCATTCAAAAGATGTCTATCATCAAACATCATCAAACCAAATAGCAGGGGAACAACACTGATACTCTATCTGGAATAAGCATCCTCTGACACTTGTAGAGTTCACTGATATGCTAATAAGATGAGAGTGGAGGGACAGTAATGGGCTTCCCTCATCTACTCCACAAATCTTTACTATAGATAAAGCTACTCTTTAGGGACCAACAAATGGCATAATGGTTGCATCCCTGGACTTGTCAACCGCAGTTTGAGTGCCAGATTCGAGTCCCAGACCTGGCAGCTTGAAACTCACACTGGGTGTTTGTGTGTGCATGCGTGCATGCATGCGTGCCAAAATTCCCAAGAGGACAATAAGGAGAAGGGATTGCTGCACGGCCCTCCATTCTGGAGGGTGATTTCTCACTTTCTTTTTCTCTGGGGTGCATATGCCCTTATAGCTTTTATATGTATATTATACATGATATATACATATAGTAGTATATGTATTATATATATAAAATATTGTCTCTACAATATGAAACATATTTTAATACATACATGTTATTACATATATTACATAGGGTATCATTTTCCAAAATAGACTAGAATATAGAGGACCACATAACTATCAAGGAAAAGAATTACAAAAGGATACTTTTCTATCTATGTTGCCATAATCTACATAGCTTCAAATTGTAATTTCTTCACTATAGTAACTTTAACCACATTGTTTAATAAACTGAGAGATAAGCCTAACTAATAAAGAGAATATAGGCAGAAAAATAATACAGCTGTAAAAAAAAGGACACTTTCAAAATCAAAGCAAAAGTAAAATCTAAAAGACTAAAAATACTTTGAAGGTACTAAGAAGAGAACTGAAAACTCATGTTGAGAGTATAACTCTGACAATTTAGTAATACACTAAAACACAAAGAAATTAATAACCTTATAAGCCAAGTTACACTTAATTCTATCTTATTCAGTTAAAAAACATTACGTAATACTTCAACTTTCTATTAAAATACTTTCAAGGTACTAAGAAGAGAACTGAAAACTCATGTTGAGAGTGTAACTCTGACAATTTAGTAATACACTAAAACACAAAGAAATTAATAACCTTATAAGTCAAGTTACACTTAATTCTATCTTATTCAGTTAAAAAACATTATGTAATACTTCAACTTTCTATTAATATTCCTCAAGATTGTGAACTTGAAACTTCTGAAAAGAAAGGTAGGTAGGTAGGTATGTAGGTAGGTGGGGTGGGTAGGGGGTGGGTGAAGTTGGTGGGTTGGTTTAATTAATTAATTATTTAGAGAGGTTTTTGCTATAGGGCATGTGCCCGAGACAGAAAGACAGAGATACAGAAAGCGAGAAATCACCGTCCCCAGGGGATGGCCATGCCGCAATCCCTTCTCCTCCATTCTCCTCTCGGGATCCTGGGCACGCACGCACACGCGCCCGACATAAGTTTAAGCCAACGGGTCCCACACTTGTACCGTGATCTACTACATGGGAGTCCAGTGACGTAGCCATTACGCAAACTGCTGGTCCCAAGAAGGGATATTTAAAAACACCATAAAAACTATAAAACTCGCTAAGTAATACTTTGTGGTTTTTATCCAATCAGTGGAAGTATAAATCTACTTCAAATTAAGTACATAACAATTCTCGGCACATCTGTATACCCATCTTTCAAGTTGTTAAAAATTGCAACATAAAACCTACTAAAATATTATTATATACTCACACATGTATATGTATATGTAAATATATTTTAAAATGCTATGCTCTTGACGTTAAATTTGAATAGCCTGGGGGCTGAATGGTGACACTGTGATAAAACATGACACTCTGCAAAGCTAACCAGGTAGGTTCAAGTCTGAAGACCTCCCTGAGTATGTCTGCTCATGACCCAGGGCTGGCTGAGGTTGGGGTTGGATCACCACATCAGGACACTGTTGTAGGGGCTCTCTTTCATGCTTGGGAAGAGATAAACAGACAAAACTTCAAAAAAAAAAAAAAAAGTTTTAACATCATTGAGGCAAAAGCCCCAAGGAGGTTTTATTAAAATAATGCTGCAGGGACCAGCAGTTAGCGTAATGGCTATGTTGCTGGACTCCCATATACAGTCAACCGTGATTCGAGTCCCAGACCTGGTGTCTTAAACTCACGCCAGGCGCGTATGCGTGCGGGCCCCAGATCCCGAGAGGAGAATGGAGGAGAAGGGATTGCAGCAGGGCTATCCCCCCGGGGGTGATTTCTCACTTTCTGTCTCCCTGGAGAGCGCATGCGCCCTATAGCAAGAACCTCTCAAAAAAGAAAAAAAAAAAAAATGCTGCCTAGGAATTACTTTCCTATTCCTAGACATTTTATACAGTCTCTTATATCTCCAAAAATTTTTATTCTTTAATTATAAATACAGAAGATTTTATTATGGTTATTCTAAAAAACCATGTATTTTTAAAAAGTAGTATTTTCAAGTACTTACCAAGTGTGTTAGTACTTTGACTTCAAAAGAATGACCAGTTGCCTGAGTATTTCCTCGAGAAGATTTTTTCTGAAAAAGCACAGAAGTTATAAAAGCCAGACTGTTGAGATTATAAGTAGAATGTAAAAGGCAATTTAGGAACTATCCTACATATACCACTTACAGAAAAAACAAGTCTTCTTACTTACTTTAATTTAGCTTTTTATATAGATGTTACTTTATGTATTCTATACAATCTCTTAAAAAACCATGCACACCCTACTTTCATTCCTCTAAAGCAAGGACTGGCAGATTACTGCTGGTGGCCTAACCTACACGAGCACCTGTCATGACCAAGAAAGCTCACTGGAACACAACCACAGCCATGTCCACATCATCTGTGGCTGCTTTCAAGCTACACCACCAGAGATGGTTGCAACAGACAGTATGACCTATGATGTCTGAGTATTCACTATTTGACTCTACATAAAAGTGGCTGACTCTTCTTGCTCTAAAGTAAGAGGTCACTAAAGTTCCTCTTGAGGAAACGCTATTTAAGAAGCCCACCCCCTCCTCCTATAAAATGGTCATACTTAGCCTTTAAACTACTATCACAACAGAACAATATGCAGCCTTTAGCTTTAAGCAAGCAGTTTACAATTTGGAGGAGGTATTTAGATGACACTCCCTACTCCAAGTTTTGAGATTAGAACCATATTAGAAATAATCTCCTCACTTTACTTCAAAAGGTCTTAAAAATAAGTAGATGAAATCTTTTTTCATGAACACAAGGAATGAAGGTGAACTATGTTTTATTTTTCCCTAAGCACAAATAATTTCATAAAGATATGATCTTTTTCTCAACTCACCTGTCCTTCCAACAGGTCACAATCATCCTCTTTAACTTGTCCATTAATCAGATAGACACCATTTTCTATTTGTTTGGCCCAGCGTGTAAGCCCATTCTTAAAAAAGAGAAAATATGGAAATCTTTCAGCTCTGATGCTTTTTTTTTTTTTTTTTTTGCCTTAGGGTACGTGCTCAACGGAGAGAGACAGAGACAGAGACAGAGAGATGAAAAGTGAGAAATCACTCCCCTGGGAGAATGGCCATGCTGCAATCCCTTCTCCTCCATTCTCCTCCTGGGATCTTGGGTACACATGCATGCATTCCTGGTGCTGTGGTAGGCAGTTAGCTAGTAAAGAGTGGGCAGCCCTAAGAGACTAGCAGAAGGACACATGTCACATCAATCACAGTTTATCAGGAGTTGCAACCAGACCCTCCATGAAATGCCTTCTTCCCACCCAGCTCCTGGTGCAGGGAAGGTGCGGCAAATACTGTTTTTCTTCCTTGGTACATGAGAAACACACATAGGAATGATTGTAAATTTCCCTCTTATCATTCCTCATAAATACAGAAGACCCAACCAGACATTTTGGTCAACATCCTGATTCCCACTGCCATAAACTAATTGGGCAGTCTATCCTAATTAGGCATCATGGCTCATGATGGGTGTACAGTTAGAAAATCAAATTCCTCAAATTCTTCACCTGTGAGAAATGCACAAGTGCAGAAAAAAAGCCTGGGAATTCAAACAAAGGACATAAATAATACAACAGATCTCCCACTGTTAAAATATTCATTATCACCTCTGATAATAAAAATAACACCTAACCAGTCCCAAAAGCAGTTGCTACCTAGCAACCTGCCCGCCTGAAAGTCTTTTGGATGTACTTTTCTAAAATCTTTCCATCCTATTAAATTTTCTTTCCTATCTATTTTTATCGTGGTTGTGGCTTTATTTTGCGCTTAGGGACAGGTCTCCAATTTTAGCGATCTGGACCCAAAGAACCAAAGACTTCACACAACACAGCTCAGCACTCTTCTCCCATCCTATGACAGCGTGAGTTTCAAGCCACCGGTTCTGGGACTCGAACTGAATCTGTAGACATGTGGGGAATCCAGTGATATGACCAGTCCGCCATCTGCTGGCCCCTCTAATGCCGTCCTAAAACTCCACCTTATTCTTTCTTTGAACTCCGCCTTATTCTACTAATGCACTCAAATATTAAAAAGCCGTTAAGTACCAATAATGTAGTATTTAAATCCAGTCTCATATATTTAAAGTATATCCCAATTTTCAGTACCATGTCCGTAATTAGTAAAAGGTTTTTTCCTGATCTTTATTTCAAACTAACATTTATATCACAGGTTCAGAAGGCTTATTAACAGTCAAATAAAACCCATGCCCATTATAAAGTGAGAAAAAAAAGCCACAACAAATAACATAAAAGATAAGCAAACTCCATTTCCCTTCTTCAATGTGCTAAATGAAGAAGAATAAGCTACCAACCAAAGGGTAATATACAGCAATAAAAAGGACTGGACAAGGGAAGATGAAACTAAGGGCAAGGACCAGCAGGTGGTGTGGTGGTTATGGTGCTGGATCTCCCATGGACAATGGCCTGTGCAGCTTGAGTCCCTGAGTCAGCAACCTGAATAGCGTGCCAGGTACATAGGCATGTGTGTGTGTGTGTGTGTGTGTGTGTGTGTGTGTGTGTACAAAATCTCAACAGGAGAATGGAGGAAAAGGATTGTGGTGTGGCCATCCCTGGTGGGGAGGGGAGGGACAAAAGGAAGGGGAGGGTCGCCTTTTAACTCTTCCCTCCTTCAAATCACATATGCCCTGTAGCAAAAAATTTAAAAGTGAAAGAAACTAGGACTAAGAGAAAGCCAAAAAATATAGCTTCTTACAAAATTACACTTAAGGGGACCAGCAGTTAGTGTAATGGCTGTGTCACTGGACTCCCATGTAGTCGACTGTTGTTAGAGGCCAGACTCGGAGTCTTAAACTCACACCGGGTGCCTGTGTATGCATGCCCAAGATCCTGAGAAGAGAATGGAGAAGGGACTGTGGCATGGCCATTCCCCCTGGGGCATGATTTCTCACTTTCTGTCTGTCTTTCTGGCAAGTGCATATGCCCTATAACAAAAAAAAAAAAAAAAAAATTATCAAAATTTTATCAAGCACCTATTATGCTAAGCGTACTAATATTACGACCTTGTCCCACCACTTACAATTTTTCCAGTCTGGCTGGGGTATAAATTTGTTATTAATAAAAACTATCATTATAAACACAATGTCACTTTTGAGGATTATAAAATGAATAACACAGACAACCAGAATAACAGAAGATTGTTCACTCAGCAATCACTAAAGAAAAGTGATTCAAGTTACACTGATACCTTTGTATTTTTCTCCAGAGTATAGCCGACAGAAGTAGCAGAAAGCGGGATGTGAATGTTAACATGAACTGTACACTCTAAAGGAAGCCAGGAAGTTGTTAGTCCATTCTGATACTTCCAGTCTGCTGGTCTTGGTGAACTCTAGCAGTGGAGAAGGATGAAAAACATAAAATATGATGTGGTTTAGGTAAATACATGGATCAGTAAACATAAAGTATCCAATCAACTAACTCATAGAAACTGGGATCTAACATACCTGAGCAAATTCCTTTATCAAAGGACTACAGATTAGAACAAAATCTAAAATAGAGCAAACTTAGTCCTCTTTAGTACATCCTAGGCATCTTGGCAACCCCCTTCTTCCTCACCAGGAATAGACAGACATGGGGTCAGAAGGTGCCATGTTTAGAATTCTGTGCAGTCTTCTGGTCCTCTAGTTTCCACCTGCAGCAGTGGAATTCCACTGTCAATTCCAGTGTTGAGTCCAAAGACTCTGATATGGAGCAAACGATCACCAATGATTCCCAGGTACTAGACAGTCTCCTTTCTGTCCCACCCTTGATAGCGATACTGCAGAGTTACTTTCTCACACTGCTTTTTAGATGCTTTAGCAAAATGGCAATCTGGATTCCGCTGAATAAAGGTACCATGTTTACTTGGCACAGCAGCTACCAAAGGCCTCAGTCACTTTTACTATCAGATTCTAAAATGGAAAACTAAATGAGACAGAATGAGCTTAACAAAAACCAGATTTCTTTTTTTTGTTGTTGTTAAGGGTTTTGCCATAGAGCACATGTGCTTGTTAGAAAAAGACAGTGAGGGAACCAGCAGTTAGCGTAATGGCTATGTCGCTGGACTCCCACATAGTTGACCGTGGTTCGCGTCCTGGACCCAGTGGCTTAAAACTCATGCCGGGCGCGTGTGCGTGCATGCTCAAGATCCCAAGAGGAGAATGGAGGAGAAGGGATTGCGGCGTGACCATCCCCTCTAGGGGGTGATTTCTCACTTTCTGTCTCTATGTCTCTCTCTGTCTGGCGAGCGCGCGCACCCTATATCGAAAACCTCTCAAAAAAAAAGAAAGAGACAGTGAGAGGGAAAGTGAGAAATCACTCCTCCAGGGGGAATGGCCATGCTGTAATCCCTTCTCCTCCATACTCCTCCTAGGATTCTGGACATGGACAGACATGCGCCTGGCATGATTTCCAAGCAACTGGGTCCAGGCAAACTGCACTTGGCCATGTGGGAGTCTAGCACCATAACCACCCTGACACCTGCTGGCTCCTTAACAAAAATCGTTTAACAATTAAAAAAACAAGTTTTCCTTCCTGATAATGAAAATCATCATATTTAAAAATGAAAACTACAGGTAGCTATGGATATCAACAGTTAAAACTAAACTTCAATTTTAAAATAGTTTGCAACATAATCTTTAAAGAGTAATGTTTCTTACCTTTGGATCAAGGATGTCATATGTTCGACAACATATTCTTTACTAATTAAGGATAGAAATGGCCAAAAAAGGAATATATTCTTGATAATCAAATTAATATAAATCATCAAAAAAAATTTTAAATGCATGCATCTAAGAGTTCTTAGGAAATCATAACACTTTATATATTTAAAAATATTTATACATATGTATATGTATGTAGGTATATATAAAATATTGTATATATAATGAACACACACATAAATGTAGACTTTAAAAAGCTCATGGAAAATTTAAAGTACAAATTTATTTTGCTACAAAACAAACTTGAAATTCATGCAATGTTTTAAAAAATAGGTATTTTCCAATAACTTTTGAAGACCTCCATAGAGAAATTGTTCTTGCTATAGTATGTGTGGAATTTGAAACTATTCCCAACCATTCAAAAATCATACCAACTATAATGAATGAAATTCAAGCACTGTAAGATTTTTCTCAAATATACACCCTCAAATTACAAAAAAGAGAGCTGTTTTAGACACGGTAAAGCCCAAAAATATTTATTGGGTCAAAAGACTTGTGCATGAAACTTTCCAGTTAAATACCAAAGAAGTTAAAAGCCCAGTTTATGCAAGAATGGTCACTTTTTAAATTTTGTCTTCTAAAAAATACTCAATTATTGGGCATTTAGATTGCATCACTCCTTTGGCTGCTTGGGAGGTACCTTTGTCCCAGTGAGAGATAAAGGAAAGAAACTAAGGCTTTTAGTACACTTGATCTTGGCTAAAAACCTAAGAATTTGTTCTATGTCCTACCCTTCCCAACTCAGCACACCTGTGCTTTAGATTGTACATTTTCTCATAAGCAGCAGAGAAGAAAACTTAATATAAGAAAAATATCGTTTTCCTAAGTTGTCAGTTGGGCATTTCTCTCTCTCTAGGAGACCTGCTGTGTTCAGATACCTAACAGTAAACAGCTGGCAAAATATTCCAAAACCCTGAGTCCTTGCTATGTCTCGTGAACTTTTTATAACCATGGGATGTCATGAACAACTACTACCACTATTACTATCACTAGTAGCAGCTCTAATTATATGTTATTTATAAAAAAAGCTCACAAACTATGCCTATCTTTTTTAAGTAATGGTGATTTAAGTACAGGTTTATGGGGGAAAAAACTTGTAGGAATATTATTTTGGTACCATATTTTTGTTGTTGTTGTTGGTTTTTTCTTTTTTTTAGAGAGGTTTTTGCTATAGGGCATGTGTGCTTGCCAGAAAGAGAGAGAGAGACGGAGAGACAGAAAATGAAAAATCAACCCCCAGGGTGGGGTGGCCATGCTGCAATCCCTTCTCCTCCATTCTCCTCTTGGGATCTTGGGCACACATGCACACACACTCAGCATGAGTTTAAGCCACTGGGTCCGTGACTCGAACCGTGGTCAACTACATGGGAGTCCAGCGACATAGCCATTATGCTAACTGCTAGTCCCAGTACCATATATGTTTAACACCTAAAGGAAGGATACTTTTTTGTAGAAGAGCAAATGTGAAGTATCACTCGTTCTGAGACCTCCTCCTCTGTGAAATTCCACAATCGCTTTCTATTCATAGATTTTTCCACAGCAAATATTAGCTGAAAGAAAGAAAAAAATACACAGTAATTAAATGTAACTTTTTTAAAAAAGTGAATGTAAAAGGCAAATTAAAATGTCATCAAGCAATCATCTAGCTTTAAAATTCCACAATTCTATCATTAATTTGTTCTTTTCTTAAAAGAGTAGAGCTAATTGTTAACCACTTTTTATTCTGTGCTTAAAGATTTACCTAAGATATCTAAGCAACTGGGTAACAAAAGTTGTTTCAGCATAACTGCAGCATGAAAAATTATGGAACACTAATTAAAATATGCTTTGGATCACTTTATATACATGTAATCAAGAAAAATAATATACAACTCATCTCATTAAGAATATCTGATATTTCCAACTTACTCTGCGCAGTGCAGTTTGAAAATCATTTGCCAATTCTAAACTTGTAATAATAAATACTCCAAGAACTAAAAGTCCCCCTGGTAGCATTCTGGACACCTAAAATAGAAATAGAGTATTAGCTAACATAAGCATTTAGCATTACACAATCCTTCAGGTTAGAAAAAACTAAATATTAAACTAGCAAATATCAACTAAGTGCCAACCATAAACATAGAGTTGAGGTAGGGACTTTTAAAACTGGCTAAAATATCGACAAGCAGATGATAAACAAGATGAATGGGGTGTCAGTATGTATATAATCTTCCTAGAGTATCCTTAACTTTTTTCCTTAATATTACTTTATAACTAAAATAATTTGAAAACAACATCCTTTACCTACATCAACGCATAAATCTCTCGTGAGAGCAAAGACTACCTTCTAAAATTTTTCAATGGCTTCCATCAGCTAAATATGTCTTCTCTTAGACTGGCATTTCAGATCTTCTAGAATCTGACTAATCTGATGCTTAGTGTTTTGCTTTGTACTACTTTGTTTAAAACATTAGAATATCAGTCAAAAAGTACCCACTGTTTTCCATCTGTATCTATAGGTGTTCTAACTCTGTGTTCCCTCAGCCTGAACTGACTTTCTCTCAGACTTCAGTACGTCTAAACTCTATGGGACGCTTTTGAAGTAAGCTTGCCAAAGCTGCCTTCCCTGATCCTGTGATCTCTGAACTCCCACAGAACTTAGCAGAGTTCTCCCAGGAACCTTTGCACACAACTCTATAATATAGGTATTTGTGAACCTTACTAATTGGTCAGGGAGCTTCTTTGGGAAGAAGAAATTCTTAAATTATCTTTGTCAACCTACACTTAGCAGCTTCCTAGAGCCTGGGATTTGAACAGAGGGAGTCCGACTTGAAAATTCATGCTTTTCTATTGTTTAGGCTTACCTCAAAATTTTAAACCTATTTACCAATATTGGGCATTTATGTCATACTCAATTTTCCTTTACTTTAAAACAATTCTGATTAAAAATCCTACTAAGACTTTTTGTGTTCATAAAATTAATTGTTTACAACAAAACCCTTGAAATGGGTAACTGGGTTAAGAAGTTATACTGATTTTTACGGTGTTTGATACATCTTACCAGTTTTGTCCTCCATAGTATCTGTATCTCCTTTTACATGACTGTGGCTTTTGTATACGTAATATATAAGCAGAAATGACAAAGCTGTCTTAGAATATTAGATATCATAGTTTAACACCTAACTTATTTGCATTATGTCTTCTGGTGGCTCCCTCTGATTTCTTAAATTCTATTGATTATAGTAACATGAACTTAACAAATGAAAGTTTGCATATTTAGCACAGTACTATGGTTTCAGTGTGTCTCCAAACATATGTGTTAAAATTTGGTGAGCCAGGGACAGTAGATAGCGTGATGGTTACGGCACTGGACTCCCACATGGCTAACTGCAGTTCAAGTCCAAGACTGGACGGCTTGAAAATCATGCCAGGCACATGTGCATGCATGCCCAAAATCCCAGGAAGAAAGTGGAGGAGAAGGGACTGCGGCATGGCCATCACCCCAGGAGGTGATCTCTTACTTTCCCTCTCTCCGTCTCTCTTCAGTGAGCACAGGATCCCAGCAGGAAAATAAAAAACTTGGTAAGCCATTATAATGAGAGTAAAAGGGTGAAAAAAATGAATGCAACTGTGATGCTGAAAGGTAGGGTCTTGGGGAAGTGATCAGCAATCAGGGCACAGTCCCCAAAACTGGGTCTCGATGGGTTTATGAGGAGAGGAGAGGAGACAGATGAGCACAGCTCTGCTCTACTCTGCTCAAGCTCTTTCCTGCAAACAAGGGAAGTCCTCCCTGATGTGTACCTGCCAGAAAATTCTCACCTGATGTGGCTCTTAGACTTTGGACCTCTAAAACAATGAACCAAATTAATCTCTATTCTCTTAAATTATTAACAGAAATCTAGTTATTAGCAATAGAATAGACTAGAGTACATGGGGAACCTGCATATCTTCTAAAAATCATCAATACATAAAACTAAGTACTTCCTTCTAGAGGTATAAAGGCTAATCTAATTTACATATATATATATACAAATACACACACACACATAAATAAATTCATATTCTCTCTTTCTTTGTATGTGTATGGAAATATGTAAAAATATACGTATTTACACATGCACATCATACACAATTTTATAGAAGAAAAGAAAAATTACAGTAGAAAATTATTTATGACCAATGCAATTTAACTTAAAAGTATCTAGTATTTGCTTGGGAAGGTATTACTCAATATCCTTTGTTTTTTGTTTTTGTTTGTATAACTACCTACTGCCTGCCTCATCACAAACACACTCACAGATCTGTGTATATGTGTATACACACACAAACACATTTGTGTATTTAAGGGATCTAAAGTTGGCTGGAGAAGGAAATGATTTTACTTTTAACCTTCCTTTAACAACATTCTTTATAATCCATTCGATAAATATTTTCAGTAAGTTACTTAATGTCTGTATCCTCTTTGTGTAATTGTACTAGTACGCCCCTGGATACCCACACAAAAAACTTCAGCATCTTTAGTTACTCTCTCCCAAGCTACACTCTTCCCTCCTAAACTACTTGGTCACTAAATCTTGATTCTAGTGCTTTCTCTGAAATGACTGGGCAATGAAGTCCTGGCCAACTACATTAGTTTACTTATTCATGCATTTATTTATCTGATGTTTTGAAGCTCTTGTTATAAGCCCGTCAAAATACTGGTAGGCACTCCAGGACATAGCCATTAATAAAACAGACTCGCAAGGTTCAAGAGTCTGGCTCAGGCTCATTATCTTTTCTGGGACTGTCACTGTAACTATGTTTTCTGTTCTGTCTTCAGTTTCTCCATTCTCGTTTTTTGTCTTTGTTTTTTGGAGAGGTTTTTGCTACAGGGAGTGTGTGCTCGCCAGAAAGACAGAGAGAGACAGAAAGTGAGAAATTAACCCCCAGGGGAGATGGCCACAACCACAATCCTTTCTCCTCCATTCTCCTCTCGGGATCTTGGGCATGCATGCACACGCACCTGGTGTGAGTTTAAGCCACCGGGTCCAGGACTCGAACCGCAGTCGGCTACATGGGAGTCCAGCGACATAGCCATTATACTAACTGCTGGTCCCTCCATTCTCGTTTTACAGTGTGTACCAAGCCATCAGAATTCTCTAAATTATTGTAACATCAATCCCATTACTCCCTCCTCAAAATACGGTGTTCTAAAAGTCTAGTATGAAACTACTATCTACCAAACATTTCCCTCGGTCCTTAAAATGCTCTAAAAAACCATCCATAGACTTGTCCCTCCTAGTTGTAGATCTAATTACATTGTTCTATCCATACCGTGTTTCAACTCTATCCAGCACTTGCTATTCTCCTAATATACCGTCTACTTGAATGCCTTTGTGCCATTTACCCTTACCGTCCTTGGGGTATTCACTGTGTTCCCTGACTTCTACTGGCAAGCAATACTCATCTTTCAACTTCTAAGCCTTCTGCGAAGCTGACTCTGACCACTGGCAGTTATTTCCTCACTCCTCACTCTATATTCCTATACCACTTTTTTACTTTTATCTCATCTCCCTTGTAATGCTTATGCTAACAATATCTTTCCTTTTGGTTAAAATATAAATTCTCTGAGAATATTTTAAAAGAATTTAACTGTGTTGTTATTCATTCAGTGCCTGGTATTAAGCCTTTAAAACAATCTGAACATCAACTATATTACCAATAACTAATATTATTTTAAAATTATAAAGGGAAAAAAGAGGTGGAAACAAGTTAAATGACCATTAACAGAGATATATTTAAATTATATGTAAACTAACCCAGTGGGAAAATAATAACAAAGAGAAAGTACAGCATTAAAGAGCAAAGGATTTCAAGTTGTAGTGCCTGGTTGAAATCCCTGTTCTGCCACTCACCAGCTATGCTTCACTTAACTTCAATAAATTGGTTTTTAAAAATTAGGAATACAGGGCTAGCAGGTGGCATGCAGGTTAAGGCACTGGATCCCACATGACCAACACTGTGATTCGAGTCCTGACCCAGTGGCTTTAAAATCATGCCAGGCGGATGTGTGTGTGACCAAGATCCCGAGGAGAATGGAGAAGAGATTATAGAGTGGTCCTCCCCCCAGGGGTAATTTCTCACTTTCTCTGTGTATATGTGTGTGTCTCTGGTGAGTGTACATCCCCTTTCGCAAAAACAAACAAAAAAATAGGAATAAATAAACAAATAGAAAATAGAATCATGGATACACGGAAGAAAAAAATAATTGTATCTGTGATATACTCTACACGTCTTAAATACATAAGAATGAGGCTTATGCTAACAATATCTTTCCTTTTGGTTAAAATATAAATTCTCTGAGAATATTTTAAAAGAATTTAACTGTGTTGTTATTCATTCAGTGCCTGGTATTAAGCCTTTAAAACAATCTGAACATCAACTATATTACCAATAACTAATATTATTTTAAAATTATAAAGGGAAAAAAGAGGTGGAAACAAGTTAAATGACCATTAACAGAGATATATTTAAATTATATGTAAACTAACCCAGTGGGAAAATAATAACAAAGAGAAAGTACAGCATTAAAGAGCAAAGGATTTCAAGTTGTAGTGCCTGGTTGAAATCCCTGTTCTGCCACTCACCAGCTATGCTTCACTTAACTTCAATAAATTGGTTTTTAAAAATTAGGAATACAGGGCTAGCAGGTGGCATGCAGGTTAAGGCACTGGATCCCACATGACCAACACTGTGATTCGAGTCCTGACCCAGTGGCTTTAAAATCATGCCAGGCGGATGTGTGTGTGACCAAGATCCCGAGGAGAATGGAGAAGAGATTATAGAGTGGTCCTCCCCCCAGGGGTAATTTCTCACTTTCTCTGTGTATATGTGTGTGTCTCTGGTGAGTGTACATCCCCTTTCGCAAAAACAAACGAACAAAAAAAAAAATAGGAATAAATAAACAAATAGAAAATAGAATCATGGATACACGGAAGAAAAAAATAATTGTATCTGTGATATACTCTACACGTCTTAAATACATAAGAATGAGTACTCTGAAATCCTAGTCTAGTATCTAAGAATGAAGTGCTTTTGTTAGTCAAATACAAACTTAACTATATAAAGTGATAAATAAGATGACCTGGTTGGCATGTTCTGTTGCCCATTCTTCATCCAAATTATCCAACTTAGCTTTGGGATGTTTGAGGTTCTCATTTTGTTCCTCTTTGGGTGGCGTTTTGGCAGCAAGAATCACATAATCCTTTTGTGAAGAACACTTCAAAAGCAAAATACAAAGCTTATTAGAATGATGCTGAATGAGGACTCAACTATCTTAGGTCTTATGATATGTAAAAACTGAGTAAATGAGTAATATTTGTAGCAGGTTAAATTGTTAATACTGGTATTATAAATGAAATCTATAAGGAAACTCCATTTCATGAATGGCCTGCATTTCCCTCACATGTTCTCTCCTAATGTATTAGGTCATCAGAAAGTCATTTTTCTATGCAAAAATGCGTCATGACTTTCTCGATAACCCAGTATTTAATATCGGCTAATTTATTCAGATACACAAATGTGAATGACACAGTAGTCCTTATAAATGGCTTGTTGGATGAGTGAATGAACTGCTTTAACTAAAAGGTAATATGCCTAGTCAGTTTTCTAGGTATTATATTTATTTCCCAAGCACTAGTAATTTGAACAGTGTGGGTATTTAGCCAATATAAAATCTCAGTAAAATAAAGCAACAAATGATGTCGTGCATCCTACTTAAACTGAAATAACGATAGTAGGGAGGTTGCACAGAAGAGCAAAGGGCAAAGACTTGGACACTGGATTTGAAGTGATACCAGATTCTAGTTCTTCAGTTTTAACGGCAATTACATGGTAACCAAAGGTAGGAGTTGTACACATTAACTTAGGGGTCATTTCACTGTTCAGTTTTATTGCAGTGAAAGTTATCTGCATCTCAGAGTGAAAATAGGCTGGTAATGCAAGTTAGCATAGCATTATCCCCACGCATGACCTGAAACTTCCATCATTAGTGGCACCTTGGGATAGAAAATAAAGAGTTATTATTTATTTTTAAGTTTATTTCTTGTGTGTGAGAGAGACAAAGAGAGAAAGAGAAACAGAGAGATAGGCACCAGAAACAGGGTCTTAGAGCTGCGATCCACTCCAAGTCATATCCTCCTAGTACACCTTCTACTTACATGCCTTCGTGTCATTTTCCCACATTGTCCTTGGGGTGTTCCAAGTGTTCCGTGACGAGAACCGGCCCAGGTCAGGTGTACTAAGGGAGGTCCTGCGACGGGAATCCAGGACCTTCCCACCTGGGTCTAGCTGTATTACTGCTGTGCAACTACCTAGCCCCAAGTAATTACTTTAAGTTTTTTTCTGGGACTTATGTTCAAATGTACCTGAGACAAAAAGGTAGACCTTGATCAAGGAGGTTCCTTCTTTTTCCTAAAATACCTAACTTTGAAAAGAAACTGACCCTGAGAGTAGGAAATAAATAGGCAACCCTGACGGAAAGGAGAGAAAGGTGATGAATAAAAAGCATGCAGAGAACCAGCAGTTAGCGTAATGGCTATGTCGTTGGACTCCCACGTAGTCGACGGACTTATGTTCAAATGTACCTGAGACAAAAAGGTAGACCTTGATCAAGGAGGTTCCTTCTTTTTCCTAAAATACCTAACTTTGAAAAGAAACTGACCCTGAGAGTAGGAAATAAATAGGCAACCCTGACGGAAAGGAGAGAAAGGGGATGAATAAAAAGCATGCAGAACCCTGGAAGGAGTAAAAAGGCGGGGTGAAGAGAAACTAGAAGGAAGGTATCAAACTTTGAGAGACTTGTTTGTAAGATGGCAGTTTTGCTGAGTTCTAGAAATGGCCTATATCCAGAAGGCAAGTCTGGAAGAGGATCCTTCTCCTCGACCTTTAATCTTTACTGACTGCATCTTTCTCTAAGTCACTTCTTCCCTTAAATTTTTAAAATAAGGGGAAGGGAAAAAAAATCTTAAAAAAATTCCTAACAAAAAGAACCCCACACTAGATGCTAAGTAACCAGAATCAAGTTCATACTGTTGCCAAGAGAGGCAGTCTGCTCTCTAATGTGAGGCCCCACAGGATAATCACCACTACCTGGGTGAATAGTGTCGATCTGTTCTCTCTCTTGCAATCTCACAAACCTGCTTTGTGAAAATGCTGAAAATAAACTTGTTTTGTAGGGCTGGACTGACATTAACTCAGCTCTTTCAGAGTGATGTAGAAAACTAGCATCCATGATGGGACTGGAATGATGAGTCTTCCAGGCAGTGCGTTCTTTCTAAGTAGGTAATTTAGGACATTAAATTATAAGAGAAAAAAGCTACGGGATATGAAGAGAATCACAACAAGGAAAGTTAATTATACATTTGGGAGGTTTTAAGGCATCAAGCCTTGAAAACACTCAGAAAGAAAACTGTCACAGTAAGAGCTTTATTTGCTTCGAGAGCTCCAAATCAAGTCATGGGCCCCAGTGTACTCTCCTCTCAGTGTCTGGAAGATATAGCCAGTTGGCCTGTGTCTCTCCTTGTATTCTACCTTGTATTGCTGACCAGTCCTTTATGATGATTAACATATGCTTCCTTCAACTCGCTGGTTGATTATGCTTTTCAAAGTATCCTTACAGACCAATGGAGCAGAATAGAGAACCCACAAATAAATCCACATATTTATAGTCGACTAATTTCTACAAAGGCATCAAGAACATATACTGGAGAAAGGATAGTGATGGTGGGAAAGCTAGGTGTCCATCTGCAGGATGAAATTAGATCCCTGCCATTTCTCACCATATGCAAAAATTAACCCAAAATGGATCGAAGACTTAAATGTGAGACCTGAAACTATGGAAATGCTAGAAGACAACATGAGGAAAACACTTCAGGACATTGGTATAGCAAAGATTTTTTTTTTTTTTTAATTAGATCTCAAAAGCACAGACAACAAAAGCAAAAATGAGCAAATGAAAAAACTAAAAAAGCAAAGGAAATAATCAACAAAGTAAAGAGATGACCTATAGAAAAGGGGAAAATATTTGCAAACTAGTCATCCAGTAAGGGATTGATATATAATTCTGGAATTTATGAGGAACTCAACAGCAAGAAAAAGAAAGAAAAAACAAATAACCTGATTAAAAGATAAACAAATGTTCTAAACACATATTTATCAAAAGACACAAAAATGACCAAGTATGTAACAAATACTCAACATCATTAATCATCAGTGGAATGCAAATAAAAACTACAGGAAGGTATCATCTCACCCAATTATTATGGCTATCCATGAAAAGACAAAAGAATAACAAGTGCTGGCAAGAATGTAGAGAAACGGGAACTCTTCTACTCTGTTGGTGGGATGTATTAGTAAGGCCATTATGGGAAACAGTAAAGAGGGTCCTCACAGAACTAGCATATGGTTCAGCAATCCTACTATTGGAAACATACTCAAAAGACCAGAAATCAGTACATCCTAAGGATACCTATACTCCCATATTTACTGCAGCCCTAGTCACAACAGCCAAGATACAGAATCAACAGAAATGTCCACCAACAAATGAGTGGACATGATTAAGTGTGGAATATACATACACAGCAGCATACTATTCAGACATATTAAAGAATAAATCTAGCCAATTATGGCAACATGAATGAACCTGGAGGACATTATGCTAAGTGAAATAAGCCAGACATAGAAAAACAAATGCCACGTCACAACAGCCAAGATACAGAATCAACAGAAATGTCCACCAACAAATGAGTGGACATGATTAAGTGTGGAATATACATACACAGCAGCATACTATTCAGACATATTAAAGAATAAATCTAGCCAATTATGGCAACATGAATGAACCTGGAGGACATTATGCTAAGTGAAATAAGCCAGACACAGAAAAACAAATGCCACGTTTTTTTTGAGAGGTTTTCGCTACAGGGCACGTGCACTTGCCAGACAGACAGAGAGAGATACAGAGACAGAAAGCGAGAAATCACCCCCCAGGGAGGGTGGTCACGCCACAATCCCTTCTCCTCCATTCTCCTCTCGGGATCTTGGGCACGCACGCACACATGCCCGGTGTGAGTTTTAAGCCACCGGGTCTGGGACGCGAACCGCGGTCTACTACGTGGGAGTCCAGCGACATAGCCATTACGCTAACTGCTGGTTCCCTATGCCACATGTTTTCACTACTGTGTGGAAGCTAAAAAAAAAAAATTGACCTCATAGAAAAAGCCAGTAAAATAGTGGTTCTCAAAGGCTGGGTGGGATGAAGTAATGGAGGACAGAGGGGTCAGTTAACAGGCAGGTGACAGGATTAATTCCTAGTATTCTGTAGCACAGTAGGTGACTAGAGTTAATAATAAATTTACTGCATTTTAAAAATAGCTAGAAGAAAGGATTTTGAAAGTTTCCAACACAAAGAAATGATAAATGTTTAAGGTAATAGATACGCTAATTACCCTGATTTGATCTTTACAGATTGTATATGTGCATCAAAATATCACATTGTTACCCATAATTATGTGACAATTTTAAAAAGGAGTACATGTCCCAATCTCTTCCATTTTGTGATTTTTTTTCAGACTTACCTCTCTTAGGGAAATAGATTTTGTCTATTTCTAAGACCTACATTAGAACAGATTCAG